GGTACAGGTGACATGCCGCCTCCAAGGTCTTAGCTTGGAAGGTTTTGGAGTTGAAGGCTCCATTTTGTTGATCTATTTTTGGTGATATATGTAAACTCAAGCCGATGACTTCATTTGTAATAGAGTTAGAACTCTTCTTTGGTTGTACCCAAGCGATAGCTTGAAAAGATGTAAGCCCGCAGGGCATTTCTTTTGTTATTAAAAGTTAGAATTACATGCTATAGTTTCAGGATGAATATCAATGAAAATGTAATGCATGTGATAATTGTTGTATAGAAGATTCTGATGAATGAAAATATATTATTTCTCTTATGTTTAGGGATTATGTGAATGGTTATTTTATACTCTATTTTGAGGGCGTTACAAATAGTACTCCCTCTGACCCAAAATATTAGTCCTTTATTCAATTTTTCATTGTCCCAAAATATTAGTCCCTTTTCAAAAATTAAGTACAAAAATAATATAAATTTCCTATTTAGCCTTTCTTTTAAATTCATTAACAACATAAAAAGTACAATTATGATATTGATATTTCCCAAAAAATGTACTATCAAAGGGTAATTTTGAAAAATTATTTTTTTAAAGTGCAATAATTGTACTACTAAAAAAAGTTGAATTCCCCAAAAGGGACCATTATTTTGATACAGAAGGAGTATTAAGTTATGTCAGGGCCTTAAATGTAAAGAGCTTATGACTCTCTTTTGTTGTAACCAAGTTATCTCTTGGAAAGATGTAAGTCCGTAGGGCATTTATTTTGTTGTTATCAATATGTATTACACGCTGTAGATTCAGGATGAACGTTTATGAATGTATAATGCATGTAATACCTTTTATAGTGGTCCAAGTTTTACCCCGACCTTTGTTGTGTTTCGGACTAGGGTTCTGTGGTTGTTTGTTGTTGTCTATATCTTGTTTCCATCATTTAATCCATTGTATTTGAGTTTTGGGATATGCTGGGTAAGTTTGGAACATGTTGGTTGTGAGTTGAAACAAATGGTTGCTGCCCAGGATTTGGTTTCTTCGCTCGAGTGAGGCTTTTTGCGCTCGAGCGAGCCTTGGGTATTTGCTTCTTTGCTCAAGCGAGCACTCTTGCGCTCGAGCGTGTGTTCGCGTCCCTGAAAGACCTGAAGGTTGGTATTCTTTGCTCGAGCGAGCTTTCTTGCGCTCAAGCGAGCTTGGTGTTATTTGTTCCTTTACTTGAGCGAGCACTCTTGCGCTCGAGCGTGTCTGCGTAAGTGGCAGGCCTGAAGCTTCGCATTGTTCGCTCGAGCGACGCTTCTTGCGCTCAAACGAGGTCCTTGTTGTGTCTGGTCGTTCGAGCGACAAGTCCTTCGCTCGAGCGAGCCTTGTATATATCAGTTCGCAGTAGGTGATTCAAGAGCACTTTTTGATTTCTTTTTCATTCCAAACCCTAATCTGGCAGCCTCTCTCTCTAAAATGCCACTTCTCTCTACAAATACACTTGATCTAGAGTGTCTCTACCCTACTTCCTTTGTAAAAAAGGTAGAGCATCGCGTGGGCTATCCTTTTGATCCGAAAAGATGTAGATTTGGAGCATCTTGGGTTTCTCTCTTCATCTCCTTTGAGCTTATCAATTTAAGGTAGGGATACTCTACTCCATAATATGAGTTTTGACATAAATGTTAGTCATTTGTAAAAATGGTGGGATTTGAGAATTTTGGGTAAAGTTAGGGTTTGAGTTTGAATGTTCAAAAGAGGGATTTTTCTTATTTGGGCTTCATTTGTGTATGTGAGATCTTAACAATGGATTAATTGTGTATAATGGGTAAAATTTGGCCTTAGGGGCAATATTTGAGAAATTAGGGAAAATGTCCTAATTTGAAATGAATAACTATTTTGTACAAATAGTGAAATAATGTGGGAATATGAAATTAGTTTGAGAATCATGAAATTAGAGGAAATTGTGATTAAATGGTATAGTTGGATTAATGAATCACTCACCTATGAAAATGTGATGATTTATCTGTTTGATAAATTTAATTATCTATTTAGAAATATATGTTTTGGGCTATCGGTGAAAGATAGCCATGATTGTTGTAGAAACTATTGTTGTAGAAACTACATGATGATTAAGTGAATTGAAACTAATGAATTGAAATATGTCATTGAATATGACGGTTGGATGTTAACATTGAATATGTGATTTAATTGGTCATTGTATATGACGACGTGTTAAATACATTGCATATGTATATTGTTTGGGAGGAGATAGAGATGTACTCTATTGTTTGGGAGGAGATAGGGAATGGACTCCATTGAGAATTAAGTTGGCCGGAGTGTCCATGGTGAAAGTCTCGAAATCATATGTGTATATTTGCGTGCCGGTTCTCTCGGACGTAGTTCCGTAAAATGGCGAGGAAATGAAGTGTTGAATAATGTTTGTTATTGAAGTGTTGGTATATGAGTTGTAGTCTCATTTTTAAACTGTTTGGATAATATTGAGCTATATCTATGAATTGATTGAATCGAATATGATGTAAGTGTTGATTGGTTATAGAAATGGTATAAGTTGGTTTATAAGTGTTAATCATTTATCGAATGCTAATGTTTTAGTTACTTCTTATATTTGGTTTAGCATATCTCTACTGAGCTTTGGCTCACCCTACTTGGGACACCATTTTTTAGGTACAGGTGAGAGCCTCCAAGATTTTAGCTTGGGAGGTTTAAGAGTTAAAGGCTCCATTTTGATAATTTATTTTTGATGTTAAATGTAAACTCAAGCCGAGGGCTTAATATGTAAAGGAGTTAGAACTCTTCTTTTACTGTAACCAAGTGATAGCTTGGAAAAGATGTAAGCCCTTAGGGTATTTATTTTGTTATTTGGAGTTAGAATTAGATGCTATAGTTTCAGGATAAACTTCAATAAACTTCAATAAAAATGTAATGCATGTGATATCTTTTGTAAAGGAAACTCGATAAATGAAATGTAACTTTTCTATTATATTTATGGATTACACCTTTTGTAATATGAACTATGATTAATGAAAGTATATCATTTTCTTTATGTTTATTTGCAATACTAAAAACATTTCTTAAACTTGCTAAAATCATTTTTTTAAGTCGATCAAGAGCATCTGACTGAGTTAAGAAAGGGAATTCCCCAACAATTCCTCATCAGAAAGCTGTGCCACCCTATTGCAACTAGGACAAACCATGTTGATATAAGGAACTTCCTTCTATTGAATTGCATATCACAAAAATAAATGAGCTTCTCTTTCAGCCTCTAAAATCAACAGTTAAAACAAGTCTCAAAAACAGAATATGTATATATAAAGAGTAAACAAAGAGAGAAGCAGAACCAAAGTCACAAGGCTCGTCTTCTGCCAGCTGATTACTATATCAAAAGATACACGAAAGATATTACTGTCATATAAATTCACTATTTTCTTATTCTTATTATAATTAATGTGGTAGGTAATAATACTTCAATATATAGCATTATTATTCATTTCCAAATTCAAGAGCTGAAAAATCTGAACTTGTCCCTCCAAAGATATATTTGACCTTTGCACAATTGTTTAGAACACTTTACTACATAGTATTCACGAAATGGAAAAATTTCAGGGGATTCTTATAACTGGAAAATTCATTCTTCACTAATCATATCTTGTGGAAAGGCAGGGAAGGATAAAGAGTGAAATTGAATGTTAAATTCACTGTTGGCAGTGAAGAACCGGAAAAAAGCAAAAAAAAAAAAAAGCAACCCATGAGTTCAACAAAATACACCCTTGTCTTTGGTCAATTAACATCCAGATTGTACATGAGCCAAAATAACTGAAGTAAGTGTAAAGATGTCTATTTGTTGCATTTTTCTACAATAGCTTTTGGGTAAATGATACAGACTTCTTTTGACAATTGAAATAAATACAGTTAAGCCTCTAGTTTGACATACTTACACCCTACTTTCTTATTGTTTAAAATCGCATGAGACATAAAAATGGATGATGTCATCAAAATTTTAAATGGAAATAGCAATTGGCCTACATTACAAAATTACTCCAATTGAATCAATTTAGTAACACCTCCATGTAACATAACTGTATATACAATGTAAAAGTAGTTGAAAATGGACAAAGATTGAACCTAATGTTTTCACTTTGTTTCCAGCAACTGTTTTATCCTCACGGCCACACCCTGGACTCCACCTAGTGATCATGCACTCTTCGACACTATTAACTCTCCAAACACAATGGATAACTGACACCAACACCATTTTTATCAATTATGAAGATCTAATAATGTCTTTGCAACACAGCGCATTTGAGCTAGATGGTGATGGTAAACAATGAAGCACACACCATACTAACATCCCGATCTTACTACACAATATCCTAGAATAAGCCTTGAACAAACCAGGGAATGCTTCCCTCTTGGATTTCATGTACTTGCGTAGTTCCTCACAATTTTTGGTTACTGGGGCCAATGGAGGAAATCAAGTGCTAATTTGTTACAATGTTTATAAACAAGAATCAGAGGGCTCTGTGAAGGGGTGAAGGAGGTGCAAGAGAGATGGCGATAGATGGAGGTAAGGGTGGGCGTTGGGAGTGTTGAGGATGCTGCTTTGGTGGCCAGTTGGTGTGTGGTGATGGGGTGAGGCTATGAGGAGGTTGTGGTAGGTGCCTAGCCAGAAACTATGGAGAAAGGTGGGGGTAGACAGAGGGAGTGGGGCAGGGGGTTGGAAATGGTAGAGGTGAAGAAGAAAACAAAGGGGTTTAGAGATGGTGGAGATGCCTTCATCAAAATAAGGCTCCAGATCCTAATGGACTTGATGGTCAGTGTTTTCGAACTACTTGGAATATAGTAGGTAATGATGCTATTCATGTTGTTAACTAGATTTTGAGAATGGTATTTTGGTTAAGTTGACAATCATTGCTCTGATTCCAAAATACCCTAATTTTAATTCCAAAGGTCCATATTCTGTCCAGCTTTCTGCAATTTTTCTTAGCAACCACACAAATGGTGATAAAGAAACTCCAAACTAAGGATTAAAGAAGATATTTGGCAAATATCATGCTCACATAACTAATTTTCAAATATACAAACCAAGATACTCTTAGACAATACAACTAAAATTAACTCCAGAAAGAGATAATGGCATAGGCTGAACTTTTCAGTATTCAAGGCATTCTCAAAAGACATACATACGAGGACTGAAATAGAAGTTGCTTAGAGCTATCAATATAATGCATTTAACAAGCATAAACCTAAGCAATAATGAATACTCTAATAAGGTGCAAAAGGTACATCTTGCCTGCACTCGTTCTGCTTTGATTTTTATATCAGATCCTGGGTTCTATCAGTCCGCTTCACTCTCTTCGCACAAAACCGATCGCTTATAACCTCATCACAAAAATCTGCCCCTTTATCAAGCAAGACTAGGCTCTCCATGTAAGTATCCACATCAAATGAATACCAACAATCGCTATCTATAGTACCTTGGACACCAAGATATATAATTCGTTTGCTCTCAGGGTCATAAGAAACCAAATATCCCTCCCTCGTCCCCAGAAGAACTTCACCATTCTTTCTCATCCCAATTGGCTTCCTAAAAAATCCTCCAGAAAGATCAATTCTAATTTGCCTAACCCAAGAATCTGCCACACCATACTGCTTCATCATCCATATCGAACAATGGGGGGGTTCACCGTAAGATTTACAATGCTGGATCAGACAAAGGGTTTCACCAAACACAACAAGGCTCATCTTTTGCATCAATTTGTCCTCACCAGCTATACCCTCCGGAAATGAAATCTCCCCAAACACCTCATTGTTCATGTCGAATGACACAATCAAATTTCGAAAAATCCCACCATGACCAAACCTTGGAGTGTGAGCAACCCAATGTGAAACCCCATTGATATAAGCCTGTCGCGATCGCTCAACAACAATATACGGAAGAGCTTTATCACTAATGTTTCTCCAAATTCCAGTTTTTAGAGTGTAAAGCTCGACCTCAGGTGGAACTCTGTTACAATCCAATCCAATATGCACAATTCTAACAACTTTAAAGTCATTAGATACTGAATCAAAGCCAAACCCTAAAGAATGCATAAAAGAGCCGTGCGACCTAAACCTAACATTAGGGTATGGAATCGACACAGACTTCCTAATCAATGGATTCCACAAAAACATTTCATGGTTATAACATGCCTGATCATCAGAAATGCAAATCAACCCATTACAGCTACCAACAATCCCAAAAGGAGGGTCTATGCAAGTGAATGGAAAATTGAGCTTTGCGTACTCATTGAATGTGTTGGTGATAGGATCGTCGAAGCGTAGCGAGTAGTGTTCTTGTTCGATGGGATCTTCAGTGCAGTAGCGAAGTAGGAGGTGAGTGTTGTTAGGGTTTGAAATGGTTCGATTGAGGTGGTGAGAGATGAAACTAGGGCTTGTAATGAGAGAGTACCATGACTTGCTAACCAGTGTGGATCGAACAAGAGTCTCTGCGGGTAGCCTCGTGAGGATATCGATCAACAATTCTCGAGGTATGTAGTCCGACATTGCTTCTTCTTCTTTTGTGCAGTTTTTAGGGTTTTTGGCAGAGGGAAATGACGCAAACCTCTGTTTAGCGTTGGAAAAACGAAAAATTATTGGCCAGTTCCGGGATCACGTAGCCATATTTCAGGCGATTACAAGCCTTTATTCCTCTAATATTTTTTAATTATTTAACACAAAATTATAATCTCATACTCCCTCCGTCCCAAAATAATAGTCCCTTTTGGGGAATCCAACTTTTTTTGGTAGTACAATTATTGTATTTGAAAAAAGTTGATTTTCCAAAATTATCCTTTTGATAGTACATTTTTTGGGAATATCAATGCATAATTGTACTTTTTATGTTGTTTATTAATTTAAAAGAAGGGTAAAATAGGAAATTTATATTATTTTTATACTTGATTTTTGAAGAGGGACTAATATTTTGGGACAATGAAAAATGGAATAAGGGACTAATATTTTGGGACGGAGGGAGTATTTTTTTTCATTGTTATTATTTGTCATTCTAAGTTTTTTTTTTTCTTTGACGATATTCTTGATATTCAGTGAATATTTTAGACATTTGGATGACTTTTGGTAACGTTCAAAATATTCCAGCGATACTCCAACAAATTATCAGTGATATTTCGGCGACTTTCCGATGATATTGAACATTCTGACGTTTAGAATTTTTTTTGATAACAATTAAAAATATATAAGACTAATTGATGCAAGTGTTTTGTTTGAAGATTAGATGAATTTTAAATTTTGTGCATGAGATTTACCAGTAAGTTCCTCTTATATAAATCTGATGTTTGGGTGAAGCGGCTTGAGTAAATACAAAGTCTCTTAACAGATAGTGCGAACTTGGCCTAGTCTGGTCAATGTCTACCTCTCGTTATTAGATGGAAATTAACTTAAACACACCACAAGAAAAAAAAAATTAAAAACCGAGTATTTAAAAGTTAGGAACAAATAATTTTGATTTCTACTTTTTTTGATTGTTAACTTTATACTTATAATAAACTATAACAAACATACTCAACATATTAGTTAAAATACTGAACATAAATTTAAATTTAAAGTAAAAATAATTCAATTAAAAAAAGTGAGCCATCTAGAATTGAACATAAACCTCTCAGTTACTTTTAAGATAGTGAAAAAATATTTTGTTCTTTAATTTCAATTCAATTTTTGGAAGTGTGTTATCAGTTCACCTACAATTTTCTCTATTTATTTATTTTGTTATTGTATATATATAATGGCTTATTTCAAGTCATATTAGTTTTTCTTTTAAGTTGACTCCTAATTGTTTGGAATAGTATTTGGAAACTTATAATGTTATTTAAAATCAAAATTTTTGCTACTCCAACATGATCACTTGCTCACTAATAGTCTATTAGATAGATAGTTCACGAGGTCCTTTTATGTGCCAGGCCAGAGGGATACTTCAACTCATTGTAGAACCTGATTACATTATGGTTTTTAATGCTTTTCATAGGAAGTAAGTTCATCATTGCAAGTCGAAGCAGCTTCTTCTGGACAGCCTAGTTCTAGCACAAGGGTTCGAAGCCTCATAGCCTCATTTTGTATGCTAAGATGCTAATTTTATTGCATATACCTTAGCCAAATATACAGTTCAACACACATCCCTAACTATAGAAATAAATATAACTCCTCTGTTTTTGAAGTCTTTTTTTTATTGTTGGATATATTGGTGCTTCTCGGTTCAAATATGTATCTAAACCTAAACTTTGTACTAAGTTAATACAAATATCCTTTGTATGAAGTAAATGGTTCATCTACAATAGTAAAAACATGTCTTAAACTTATTAAAATCATTTTTAAGTCATTCAAGAGCATCTGATTGAAGTAACAAAGAGAATTCCCAACAATTCCTCATTACAACTAGGACAAACTATGTTGATATAAGGACTTCTGTCGCATATCACAAACACTTTGGCCTTTCATGTTTCAAGTTTTTTCCACTTTACTTCTAAGGCCAACTTCTGTTCAAAATTAGACAGAAAATGTTACAATAACTGTCACATAACATAAAAAATATATTATTATATTAGAATTTAAGTTTATGTTAGAAGTATAAGTCATGTATAATAAAATATGTTTCTGTCATGTAACCAATAATGTGTCATTTTCTGTTTAATTTTTAACAAAAATTAGCTTTAGTAATAAAGTGGGAAAAACTTGAAACATGAAGGGCCAAAGTAGAAAAAAAAATAAATAAATAAAAAAATAAATCGAAAGGCCAAAGTGGGAAAGTAGCTAAATAGAAAGGGGGCTAAGTGTAATTTACCCTTTAAAAAAAAGGAAAAAAAAAAGAAAAAAAAAAGAGCAAATAATTCTCATAATCAATTGATCAATAAGACTACTAAATCAAAGGAAACACATTAGATATTACTGCCATTAATTATTTTTATACTTCAATAAATAGTATTATTCTTTATCCAAATTCAGTAGTTGAAAATTTAAACACTGCTCAAGAATCAAGATATATGTCCCTCCAAAGATAATATTTCACCTTTGCACATTTGTTTACAACAATTTACTACATAGTATTGCCAAAAGAAAAAAATTCAGGGAATTCTTATAACTGGAAAAAAATTCGTTGTCCACTAATCAAATCTTGTGAAAATTTTCTATAAATAATTGTGACTAAACAAATCAAACATCATTGGAAAGTAAATTATGGAGTTGCGGATTTAAGAATGAAATGCAGCTTATACCAAGAAATGAGCAACAATTGAAAATCAATAAACACGTTGTTCACCTTCATAGTCAAGTAAAGAAAGGCTCTCCGTGTAAAAGAATATTTTATAAGGCCATCATGGCAATTTAAGGTCCCTATGAAATTGGGTTTTAGGGTCATAGGAAACCAAATTGCCTGTTCGTCTTTCAATAGGAATTTCACCATTCTTCATGGATCCAGAAGGAAATCCAATTGCGTTCCTTAAACTATGCTGTTTAGCCCAAGAGTTCACAGCACCATCTTCCTTCATAACCCATATGTCCCATTTTGTTGTAGCTGGATCCTGGACAACTAAGGCAATCGAGTGTTGGAACGCCAAAATGGCAGTGCAATGTCCATCGAAAGAAGGCACGATAATTTCCCCAAATATCTCATCCGCCAATTGGAACGACATAATCACCAATTCTTCCATCTCCCTGCCTCTACATGCCATCCAATGGAGAACCCCATTAACAAAGGGACTTGGGCCCATTTGGGAATAATAATGCAGTATCCTACCCGGAAACATGTCACCAGTCCTCTTCCTCCAAGAATTTATGCTCATGGTATAAACCTTAACACTTGGGAAAAAACCAGCAACAAAAACATAATTTTCTGAGCATTTGGGAAAAAACTCTCTCTTGAACTCCAACAATGTTTCGCAACAACAAAATTAATAAGAAAAATATTTTTTAGTATCAGATTGGATGATGAGTTGGGGAGTCTTATTATCATCATTGATTGAATACTCTGATTTGTGAGTTACATGAAGATGCTTGGTGATGAAGAAAGGTTCGACTATTAAAGATTGCCATGATTTGCAAACACACCTGCATTGGCCGAGTGTTTTGAGTGGTAGTCTCCCCAAGATTTCAAGTCTGACATAATTGCGAGGTGAAAGATTGAAAAATAAAACCCCCTAGATTGTAGGGAACTAGACGGGTTGAATTTTTTAGGTGTTTGTTTGTATGTGAACAGTTCTTCCAAACATCAAAGTTGTGGTAATTTATAAATAAATAGGATTCCCTGGAAATAATCTAATGTTGGGCTTATTAAAATTGTCTTATTTATCCATTCCCAAATAGATAAATACTATTTTTTGAGTTCACCTTAGACTCAAACTGCTAAAGAGTCCAAACTATCACGCCTACCTACCACCATTATATTTTTTTGGAGAAAAATGCTTGAGAGCACTAAAAAGGAATCACTAAAGGGAGCACTAATGATGTGGCAGTGGGTCCCGCCTACTTTTTATGCCTTGTTTTTTATTTTTTTATTATTTTTTTGTCATTCCCAATGTATTAGTGCTATTAGTGGTTTATTTTTTAGTGCTCTAAATCATTGTTGTTTTTTGGATTGCACCTTTCTCATATTCACATTACAATATGTAAAAACTTGAAAGGTCCATAAGGCTTATCACAGATCTCATTTCAATGATCTGAATCGTTTGTTTTGTAAGGCTCTCAATTATATCATTCATGAAAAAAAAATTAAGTTGATTCAATAATCGTAACTTTTTTATTTTATCGTGTTTGTATCTGAAAAAAGAAAATGAATGATTTATTTGCAAAAATATATTTGTCAATCATATTTTTTAAGACAAATACGATAAAATAAAAATGTTACGATTATTAGATTAAACTAATTTGTTTATGGACGATATACATTGAGGGCCTTACAAATGAACGATTCGGATCATCAAAACGAAACTCATAGTGGGTCCTATAAGCCCTTCAAATTCTCTCATGTTGAGGGTCTCATAAGCCCTTCAAGTTCTTTCATGTTGTGGTAATTTATAAATAAATAGGATTCCCTGGAAATAATCTAATGTTGGGCTTATTAAAATTGTCTTATTTATCCATTCCCAAATAGATAAATACTATTTTTTGAGTTCACCTTAGACTCAAACTGCTAAAGAGTCCAAACTATCACGCCTACCTACCACCATTATATTTTTTTGGATTGCACCTTTCTCATATTCACATTACAATATGTAAAAACTTGAAAGGTCCATAAGGCTTATCATAGATCTAATTTCAATGATCTGAATCGTTTGTTTTGTAAGGCTCTCAATTATATCATTCATGAAAAAAAAATTAAGTTGATTCAATAATCGTAACTTTTTTATTTTATCGTGTTTGTATCTGAAAAAAGAAAATGAATGATTATTTGCAAAAATATATTTGTCAATCATATTTTTTAAGACAAATACGATAAAATAAAAATGTTACGATTATTAGATTAAACTAATTTTTTTATGGACGATATACATTGAGGGCCTTACAAATGAACGGTTCGGATCATCAAAACGAAACTCATAGTGGGTCCCATAAGCCCTTCAAATTCTCTCATGTTGAGGGTCCCACAAGCCCTTCAAATTCTTTCATGTTGAAATGTGATGTGAATATAAGAGAAGCCCAACTTTTAAAAAGAAAAAAAAAAAAACAAAATACCTTCCTATACCATCATCCACAAACTACTACGTTTTTCCCATTTCACCTTCCAAGAAACATTTAGTAGAGAAGTTAGTAAATTTTTTTAAATTTCTAACAATTTTCTTTTACCATTATACCTTCCACCTTTACTTCTACCCATCCTTAGCCGACACACCCCAATTGCTCCCTTGTCATTACTTACCCCTCCATGGCCACCACCTCAAGCTAAAATTCCCATATCATATCACCCCATTTTTTTTCCATTATCGCCCATTCATTCTCACCCCCAATCACTAGTCAGCACCCTTCACCCCTAATCAATTGGAGGTGAAAAGGAAAATAAAAGGGAAAGAAAAAGGAAGGATGGCAATGGTAGGTGGCTATATCAGAAAGGAAGTGAGGGGTTATAGGCAATGAATGAAAAAGAAGAAAGGGGATTGTTCTAGTGTGTTTTTAATCAAATAGAAAAGTAATTACAAATTGTACGAGTACAAAATAATCTTCTTGTATAATCCTGTTGATCAAGTTTGCGCTCCTTCAAACGTCATCGCTTTACTACCTGAAAACACAAACGTGAGCTAGCCGGCAGGTGTGTGCCAGAAACCCCTCCGATGCCTAAGTCAGCAAGTAGACAATAGACAATAAGCTCTGTGTATTTGAGAATAAGAATTGCAATACCTGTCCATAGGTTCTCTCATAAGCTTTTATAAATTCCACGTGGCAATCCTTGCAGGACTCTAACTCTCCTTAGCAGAGTCCTCCCAGGAGTCTTATACCTAAGGATAATGCTTATCCTTAGAACACCCTCCTCACTGCAAGCCAAGTAAGATGGCACAAGTCTTTGCTCGACTTTCTACCGCCCAACCGAACTACCTCTGCTTTGTCCGCCAATGGCTTAGCTATGTAACACACAGCACCGTAAAAGCTAACATTGCATGGCTCTCTTCCTAGCTCGGCTTTCCTCTCTGTTTGACTACCTTGCTTGGTAGTGCAGCCATAGCGTTGACTGCTACTAGGAAGTAACCAGGTCCTGTAGCTAGTTCTCGTGGCTAGGTCCCATAGCTAGGCCTCGTAGCTAGGTCTCATAGCTCGGTCTCATAGCTAGGTCCCGTAGCTAGGCCTCGTAACTAGGTCCCATAGCTAGGTCTTGTGGCTAAATCCCATAGCTAGGTCCCATAGTTTGATCCCGTAGCTAGGACTTGTAGCTCGGTCTCGTGGCAAGGTTTCATAGCTAGGCCCCGTAGCTAGGTCCCATAGCTAGGTCAAAAAATATGGGTATTTACTAGTTCGGTCAAACATCTTTGATCGCCACTCTAACTTAGCTTGGCCCAATTTAGATACACAAATTACCCTCTCAATTGCCCCTTAATTCCATCTGCAGTGCATAATTGGGATTACTCTGTCCAGCCGAGCTACTTTGCTCCATCCAATCGAGCTCACCAAAATTGCTCAATCATAGATTTCTTATAGTTAGACAATCTTACCAATTCTACTTTGCCGAGCTAATTAGCTCAGCAAATATTTTTCAAAGTTGGTCAATCCTGCCAACCTACTTTTCCGAGCTAACCAGCTCGGCAAAGATTTCAAAAAGTTGGTCACACCTGCCAACCTTCTTTGGCCGGGATAACCATCTCAGTCAAGGAGTGCAAAAAGTTAGTCACATGTGCCAACCTTCTTCGGCCGAGATAACCATCTTGATCAAAGAGTGCAGAACGTTGGTCACACCTGCCAACCTTCTTTGGCCGAGATAGCCATCTTGGTCCAAGAGTTCAAAAAAATGTTGGTCAAACTTGTCAACCTCGCATTGGCCGATATAACTGCCATCTCAGTCAAATAGTGCGAAAAGTTGTTAGTCAAACCTGCCAACCTTCTTTAGCTGAGATAACCATCTCGGCTAAAAATCCAAAAAATGTGTTGGTCAAACTTGCCAACCTTTATTACGTTGGGCAAAGAGTGCAGAAAACGTTTGTGGTCAAACCTGCCCACCTTCTTTAGCCTAGATACTCATCTCAGCTAAAAAGTGTAAAAATGTGTTGGTCAAACTTGCCAACCTTCATTGCCCCAGTTGGGCAAAGAGTGCAAAAAATTTTGTTGGTCAAACCTGCCAACCTTCTTGAGCCTAGATACTCATCTCGGCTAAAGAGTCCAAAAAATTTTCTTGGTCAAACCGGCCAACCTTCTTGAGCCTAGATACTTATCTCAGCTAAAGAGTGCTAAAAAATTTGTTAGTCTAACCTGCTAACCTTCTTTAGTTTAGATACTCATCTTGGCTAAAGAGTGCAAAAATGTGTTGGTCAAACCTGCCAACCTTCATTACCCCCCAGTTAGGCAAAGAGTGCAAAAATTTTGTTGGTCAAACCTGCCAACCTTCTTTAGTCCAAATACTCATCTCGGCTAAAGAGTGCAAAAAATTTGGTAGTCAAACATGCCAACTTCTTTAGTCCAAATACTCATATCGGCTAAAGAGTGTAAAAAATTTTGTTAGTCAAACATGTCAACCTTCTTTAGCGTAGATACTTATCTTGGTTGAAGAGTGAAAAAATGTATTGGTCAGACCTGCCAACCTTCATTGCCCTCAGTTGGGCAAAGGTTTGTTTAGAAAGAGTTGGTCAAACCTACCAACCCCTTTTGCCCCATGTTGGGCAAAGATTTGTGCGCAGTCGGTCCTTTTTGTCGATTGTGTTAACTTTCGCCGAAGGCTTTTTGTTCGGCATCACTATTGTGCCGACTCTGCCTTGGAGTGCACCCTATCTTCCTTTACTCGGATGTGTTAGTGCACTCTCTCCATCAAGGCCTCCATAGTAAGGGGCGGTGTTATTGTCATTGAATCTCTCAACTTATGACCCACTAGCAGACCCTGCTTGTACTGTGCAATAGCTAGGTTGGTAGGACAGTCGTCTATCTGGTTGAAGGTCTCCCAATATCTGTTATTGTAAGATTTCAACGTTTCTCTTCTCGCCCATGTCAATGGTAAGCAACTGATCTACCTTGACTGGCGTCTTGATGTTCATCTTAAACCTGGTGACAAACGTCTCCGCAAGTTGTGCCCATGAAGCGATGCTACCTTCTAGCAAGTTAATCTTAGGTCACCCAAGCTTGACGGAAACAATATGCACACCGGAGTTTCGTT